AAACAAGGTAACAAGGCAGCAGGACAGGGTCATGGTTGAGGTTGTGAGAACCAGGGAACTTTTTCTTTTTTTTTTGTGATGGTATTCCTCGAGAGCCCCCACCTTTTTTTTTTAGCTTTTCCCTGGCTGATCATTATTTTTTTTTCTATTAAACACCACCTGCTTGCACAAAGGTAAAAAGAAGGGAGGATAAGAATGCTTGATACAGTACATTCCAGACAAGTTTCCACATGTCTCAGGAAGGTGGGCGGCTCCTGTAAACAGACAGACATGTTGATGTCTGAGGCCAGGAAGATGAACAAAACAAAAACATCCACACACTCCTTTTCAAAAGTATTAATAAGGTAGTTAACAAACAGTAATTGCTTATATTTTATGAGACAAATTTAAAATCATAATCGTACCCGCTAGGACAATATAATGTTGAAGTGTGGAAATGAATGTGCAAATTGTTAGATCCATTTTTATTTTATCACACATTCTTTAATGCTTTTACACTTATGTGTTGGTGCGCTGTTTAAACATGTAATAAACCCTGTTAGCTTCAGTAACAGCTGTAGTCCATTACCAGACTGGTAATGGACTACAGCTGTTACTGAAGCTAACAGGTAAAACAACAACAACAACAAAAGAAAGTGTTTCCACTGTCCACATCATTTAGTTTAACAATTGGCAATTTAAAAATGTATATTTCCAAGATACTTTAAAATATTTAAATTTTGAGACAACATTTTAGGTATCCGTTATGTTCTCATGTATTACTCAACAGTTTTTGATCCCAGTTATACCATAGGCCTTGTAAACAAGACATATGTGGACTGCAGGTGGGGCCGTTTTTGAAATGTGTGCAATATGATGTGGACACATATGTCTGTTCGTTCCTTAGCATGTAGAAGTACACTGGCAATTCTTCCCAGACACAGTGACAAAGTGGACTCCACTGACTGTGCTTCATTGTGTTTTGGTCCATATAAGACGAGTATAAACACAGAAGACTCAAAAGCAGGTCTGTACACAACAGCCACACATCTGTGTGTGAATTTGCTCTGATGTCATGCAGATGTGTCCATCATGGCTGAATGACAAACTGAATTTCAGGTTTCATCTTTTTCTAGTGTTTCTTTGGCTCAGAGGAAAGATTGAATCTCAGTTAGGGCGGTTGGTACCTTCCAGTGGACTCACCACCCGCAGGAAGGTTCAGGGGCGTTGGTACGGTGCAGTGTGATTTGGGTGGTGGTCATGGAGACTGCTGCCCCCGTGACCCGGGAACGGATAAGCGGATGAAAATGGATGGATGGATGGATGGATGGATCCTTTTCTAGTGAGACCTTGACTCTTCACACCATTTTCTTTACTAGCGATGGTAACAGTCACGACTCCCTTCTATCAATGACTGACATGTGCTAAAACAGTCTTTCTACTTTACTGACAGCTTAAGACTACAAGTCCAGCCATTTATCTATTGATGGCAATGGTGGACAACTGCACTTCATGCTGAAGCACAGACTTCCCTCAGATTAGTTCTCAGTCTCAAGGAAACGGGTTTGTATCTACAGAAGTGGTAACTGCTGTTGTCCTCTCCAGAGGAGGATGTAACAAGAAGAGTAAGAGAAAATAATAGAAGCATTTAAAAATCTGCCCTGATCTACTCCTTTACTCATTCTCTGCAGCATAGCCTCCATTTCATCTTATAAGGCACATCTGAGATGGAGGAAAGTGGCAGTGACATCACCTGTTCTATTTGTTTGTGTAAAAAAAAAACACTCAAACAAAGACAGCAGAAAAAGTATGAGAGCATGGAGGACAGAACCAGGCTGATATCTGAGAGCTCTTCTTTCCCGCTGTTCCTATTGACTGTTCACTGCTTCAGGGCAGGAGAAAACGACTGAGTGATTCAGTTATTGACTGCACAAACCTTTGCGCCTTTATGAACATATGCTTCCTGTTTTCATGCTGAATGTGGAAGATCCAGATTAATGTAGTTGAAATGCCTTCCACGCAGCTTATTTAAACTGCCTTCGATTACAACGGCAAATTCAACAGTCTAACCAGCGATTTGCTGATGTGCAAATGTTGACATTTGGAATTTTACAACAGTCACTAATACAAGAAGTTTGAGGCAAAGATATTGTAGAGAGAGAAACGCTACTCTCATCCTGCATTTAAATTGCCCTACTGTATATTATTTCAGTTGATCATTTCAATCTCAGACAATATTCAAAATTATCGAATGCAGTGGTTCTCCAACTTTTTCTACTCTGTACCACCTGAGAAAACACTGATCTCTCTGAGGACCACCATGATGACCAACATTAGAATACAGCAGCGTAGGCCTTCACTGTTAGCTTCCACCACACAGGAGAGATGTTTATAAATGATCTATAAAGATGTTTAAATGTTGTATTAATTGTGCATGGTATGTTTCAGATTTATTCAACTGAAAATGTAAATGTGAAAATATGAATTTTAGAGATTCAACTGAAAATGTAAATGTGAAATTTTAGAGCGTGCTCGTACTACAGTTTAAGAACCACTATGTTTTGTTGTTGGTTTTTTTTGGTATATAAAATAATATCTAAGGTTTGGATCTAGAGATGAATAAGCTCATTTAGATGAAAAAGAGAAGCTAATCAGCCAATGCTATTAAAACACCTTCTTAAAATGAGACTGCTCTAAAAAAAGACGTTGAGTCTTAATAATGTGCAATAAAACTGCTACAATAAAACAGCTATTACTCAACCACCTGACTGTGAATCAGTGTTCATATAAAAGTACCTGCATCACAGGCTTTGTGCTCACACTTGTCTTTCATAATCACCGCCCGGCCTCTGGTTACTGACCCTACCACACAGAGTGTGCACCTTCTGACCTCTGTTGGAGCAGCCCCTGGGTGGGGCAGAGTCGTGCCCTCTCCTCCCCTGTTGAACATGTGTCTGATCAAATCCTCTGCTCCACTTCATCAGCTCTCAGCAAATCAATAAACATCACTGAGATTATCTTCGACAGAGTAATTACGCACATGAGCTCGAAGAGGATGACGTAAGGAGATGACGAGGAGTGACAGGCAGGGGTCGCAAACTGTAGAGCAGATCGGGATCGACCAGTAGATCATGAGAAATAAAATAAAGTATAAATACATAATTATATACGTATGACTATGCAGTGGCAACTATATGATATATTGCCATATACTAGGGGCACGACGATATTTTGAATTATTTTAAGCGATTTTATTGTAGGAAAACTGTCAGCACAGGAACATAGTTAACATCCGGTTACTAAAATTGAAACAGAGAGATCTACATTTGTAATTGCTAGAGAAGAAATAAAAGAAAAAGAAAATGAACCAATGGCATGAGTATCTGCAGGTGAACTGTTGATCAAGTATTTCATGAAATATCGCATTGTATTGGTGTGTCCATGTGTTTCTTTATAAAATGATGGTCTGAATTTGCTCATTTAGGACCAGGAATTAGGAGCACCCTGCTGGACATTTTTAAAGGAACATAGTCATCTAGAATGAACTAGCAATTTTTTTGTTCACTAATTTGATATTTTATTTTTTCTCCAATTTGTTTCTTCTGTTGTCTTTTACAGCAACTGGATTTTTTCAGACACTTTCACCTCCAACTCTGTCCAGGTCACAAACAAGCCTGGAATTGTGTAAAATATTATTATACGTACTGTAGGAAATATTATCATATAGAACGTACACATGTGCTGTAGAAGTATGCAGTGAAACATTCATCCTTCATAACTGCAATCAGCTACAAAACCCCCGAGGCTGAAGGAAAAAAAGGAGTCATGCTGATGTAAACATAAACACAGACTGACGCAGATGCTTGAAGCATAATATGCAGATGTCAACTAAGGTTTTTGTTCTGGGGGGAGATTCTTCAGCGGACTCAAATCACAGGGACCACCAGCTGAGCTCCCACTATGAATATTATCAGCAACATATTTGCAAAATAGGAAATGGAGCACATATTACAGCAATTACATATGGCTATAACTGATGTGTTCCTGTTACCAAAAATGGCATTTTCCCACAGAGTTACTGTCAGAAAAGAGGAAGAGAAACGCTCTTTTACTGCACTGTGACAGACGGATTACCAACTTTACTGCAGTGTTTCATTTCTGTTACTAGGGGGCATCACATTAATTAACTCACTAGGATATCTTGGTTCATAGAGCAGCGTTTAGTTGATGCTTTTTCACCAGCTTAACCTGAGTCACTGAGACATGACAGCAACACTGGTATCAAAGAGAGCTTTAAACAAACAGCAGCCTGTAACAGAGGAATTTCTCAGTACCGAGGTGATTCAAAATAAATTCTCACCACAACATTTTTGTTGATTATTCTTTGGAAATTTTCTGCCATTCACATACAATGTCAAACTCTACCATGTGACCACAAACCCATCCAAACCGTAATGTACTGATAATGGCCTTTAACAAATGTATGGGTGAAAGAAGTCAGCCAAAATGATTGGTTGACCTTACTGTGTGGCCCAGTCATCTGATCTGTGTTAGCTGACTGCCCTCTGCCATACAGGCCATTCAGGTTATGGTCAATTCTTAGTATCAACCAATCCTTTTTCTTTCACCTTTAAAGAATGACATATGTACCGAGACACATTCAATAATTACATACGTGAAGAAAAAACAAACAAATCTGAATGGAATTCCTTTGGGATATGAAGTGATGAAAGAGAAACGACTGAGCATCCTGAGAGGGTGCAGGATACAACGCTGTGCCTGTGCTCAGCAGTTCAACATCCTTCACATTGTCACTGACAGAAAGACACCAAAGGCAGACGAGGTCGGCACAGCAGGAGCACGAACATAAACAGTCTCAATAAAGCAGCCGCTATTCACATTTCCATTGAGGGCTGCACATTCACACTTAAAAAAACCCACCTCTCTCTGTGTGAACCTAAGCAAATAACGCATAAGAATGGGAAGTGACATGTGGAGAAAAAAAGCACGATAACACTCACCAGCCATTGTCAGAATTTCACAGAACATTCAAAGTCAAGTGGAGAGGAACCAAGGCTGAGGCAGAACGAGAGGGAGGAGGAAAAATGAAAACAGAACGGCAGGGATGGATGGATAGAGGCTGGGGTAATTTCAAAGCTCCATTCCCCCCTGCTGCTGCTGCTGCTGCTGCTGCTGCTGCTGCTGATGCAGACTGTCGCTTTGCCTTTTCTCTTCCTTACTTGTGGTCCTCTTCCTCCTCCTTCTCACCCTGACTCCTCTCTGCTGTAGGCGAGGGGTGGAGAATCAGCGCTAAAATCTATATTGCTCTCTCTCTCTCTCTCTCATCCCCCCTCTCCCTTTTCCCTCTCCGTTCTCCCTCCCTTTCCTGCACAGCCTGAACATGGCATGTCCTACTTCCTATGTTATCAGTTCTACATTACTCTTTATCACACTCTCTCTCTTTTCTCCTGATTTATTCTCTTTAAATCATGTCTAAGTGTGCTCTAAAAGCTTACTCTGTCTTAAGAATGTAAAATATGTTCTCACTTGTAATTTCCTCCTCCGTCCAACTACAGCTAAGCCCCTCCCTTTCCTATTGTCAGGGAATGACTCTACCTCCCAGCTCTGTTTCCCTGGGCTGGGAGGAGCTTACTGTGCTGGGATCACATGTATGTCTGTGCACGTGTGCGTGTGCGTGTGTGTGTGCGTGTGCGTGCGGCACTGCCTTGTTTGCTCTTTGTCCTGTCGGCCTCAGTGGGAGGTGTTAAGCTACTGTTGCTAACACTCCTGTAACTATAGGACACGGACTGGGGCAACAGCCCTTGGTGTGGGCACAGTTGGGCTTAGGTTGAGCCTTTGGGCAGAATTTAAACACCGTGGGTCTGGAGCTCAGCTTTGGCAAAGTGACTTGGGCAGCGAGGCCAGCCAAAGGGTTGCTGGTAGTCAGACAGGAATGAGGTGGGAGGGCTTGCCATGCCCAATTTGAGCCAAAATTGGTAGACTGGCAGAGGAGATAGGGGTGAGTTCGAGGTTATTTCTGGAGCTCATGCACCGCCAATGTTTGCAAAAAAGGGGGATTAAAGGCCGGGCAGGCCACAGTGCTAAGGCAGAGCAGCTGTGCAGAGCTGGGTCGAAAGCCACATCTACTGCACTTCCCTGCCGGCCTGTAATGATGTCATCAAAAATGACATCACCTATACCCTCCTTCCTCCTGGACACACGCTCTCACACGTGTAAATCAAATGACCACACAGCAGGGTGTGGCCGACAGATACTGAGCTCACGCCTTCACAGACAAAAGCTCAGGTCAACAGATCAGTGTTGGCTTCCCAACCACCACAAAGCATAAAGGCACGGCTGCCCACCTGTTTCTCTATGAAACTTTGAATTAGAATGGCGTTACAGTTTACTATTACATTTGAAGCTCTACGTTCACCCACTTTCATACATCAAGAAGTTTACAGGGTAATAGTAGTAGTATTGCTATTGTTATTACTATTACTAAATATCCATTATGTTTATATGTAAAAATAATAATAATAATTGGTTCAACACACAAAGATAGACACATACTTATGTTTAAATAATAGTTACTAGTCATCACTATATTGTTAATACTGTCATATTTTTAAAACGACTGTCACTTACAATTGCCAGTAATTTAGGATTCAGGAAACAGTGTCTGCTTAAAAAAAAGTCCAGCAGTAAAAACAACTTAACTGTGAAGACTTTTGCACGGTTGAAAGCAGTTTTAATTTAATCCCAGTTTGTTGCGTGTTCTGATCAATTATTCATCATTGCAGTAAGAGCCATGTCACGAGCAACGCAGCGCAACTGAGAGGCAATCAATGAGGTGTGAAGTCGTTCGGTTGTTGTTGAAGAAGGAAATTTGCATTTGAGGAAAACATTGAACGTATGCATGGTTGACAAAGGTGAGAGAAAGTGACCGATTATCATTTTTAAATGAGTTTTAATGAATGAGCAATTAGAAACACGTCCTCATTATTAGCTACCTCCCAGTAACGCCTTTGGGCTCTTCTGCATTAAATATAGATATTTCTTTACTCCCGCTCTCAAACGCCTTGTTAATTTAACATCTAGGAAGCGACTCTTTCCTGATAAACCTAATCCAATTAGATAAGCCCGCAGCTACGACTCCTCTTACTTTCCTGCACAAGGCTACTAATATTCATTTTCCCTTCAAAGGGATTAGGCAGCGTGTGCCTGCTCTGTGACGTTAGCCAGTCAACTGATGGAACGATAAGATGGAGCAGCAATTTAAGTTTAACAACATAAATAAGAACAGCGTTTATTTGTCCTGCAATGGGGAATATATCCTCACAGAGACAGTGTACATGGGCAGTAAAATAATAAAATAATCAGGTATTAGTTTTATATATATATGTAAATGTACAACATTTGGAAACATAAGTTTAGCCCATGTGTGCAATAGTGTGTGCATTTCAATATAAAACAAATGTTTTGCCCTAAAAAAAAAAACAAAAAACAACCTTGCACACTTGATGATGAGAAGTGCCGCTCTGAGTGTGAAGATCAACCCCGTGTGACTGTATGAATGGGGGATAAAAACAGCTGAGGTTTTTAGATGGAGAGCCCACAAGTGCAGTCTGTTTGTAGGGAGCTACTTCAGAGGTTTCGCTGAAGCACAGTGAACAGATGAATATCCGACCTAGAGACAAACCGCTTTATGATGATAGCACTCACAGATGACACTCATGTCTATCCTGATCTTTCTGCAGCTGTACCAAAGCTTTTCCAATTCAGTGTTTGGCAATTCATTTACAACGATCCATGATATTAAGGCTGACTTTATCTGTGGAAATCAAGTAACTTTGAAACAACATATTGTTTTGCGTTAGCTGCAGGACATAGTATCTCTGTGTATGGATCATACACAGAGACAGTAATCCCACTGTAATAATGAGTTCCATCTACAATGTCTGAGTCTAAGCTCAGGGACACATTGACCGTCTGTCCGTGGTGAATAAAACGTCTTTCTTGTTCTGCCTTGACCTTCCCCTGTCCCCTGCGTCCTCTACTGTTACACCAACCATCTCCATGTCCTTTTTTACTACATCCATAAATCTTCTCTGCTATCTACATCTCCTGCCTGGCAACTCCATGTCCAATATTCTGTCTAACTGAGTGACTCAAATCCCACATTTCTTTAAATGTTTGGAATTGTGGATTTTCATTTAAAAACTGTGATGTGCTGTAATTATCAGTCCTAATAATCAGTTTTATACCCCAGGACCCAAGGTTGTTGTTGTCACTGTCACTTAAGAATGAAATAGTGACGAATGCCGTAACACTCATCCATCATGATGTCAGAGTGTCTTTGGTTAAAGTATTAAGAGCATGAAAATTACACAGATGTGTTATGTTTTGTGTGGTATATACACAAAAAAAGACAAAGACACAGTGGCTGAACACATTGAAGTGACAGAGAGACCTGTCAGTGAAGTGAGGACAAAGAGTCTGTGAGAGTCACTGAGGTCCACACAGAAGGAGGAGACATCAGCATTCAACTCTTCAACTCTAGAACTACAAATCTGTATGGGTAAAAAAAAAAACTTTATTCATAATCAACTACATTTTGACAAAACCAGACGTTATTTAATTCAAACATCACATTTGTCAACTAAAGAACTACATACCTATACTGCTTTTTTGTCCTCAGATAATAACAGAACATCTGCATAAACTAAACTATAAGTTGCTTATCTTTAATAAAGAGTTTTCCTTGCATATGGTAAATGCACGAAAACTAATAAAATTGTTTGTTTAATACTCCCAGAGTTTTCCTTGCATATGGTAAATGCATGAAAACTAATAAAATTGTTTGTTTAAAATATTGTTTGAACTCGGTTCACAGTTTGTAATATCTTCAATACGAGAGCATGGTAGTAGATTAGAGAGAGGATGAGTGAATAACTGAGTGCTTGCATGTGTACTGCTCAGCTCTTTAGGAGGATGAGCAGCAGACTACTTTGATGGGGCTCTCTGTATTCCTGTCACGCTGTCCATTACAGCTCATTACCCAGAGAGAGAATGAAAGACAGGAGACCCCTGGTCATGCTTACCTCGTCTCACAGAAATCCTAGCAGGGTTGACATCAACCTGGCTTCAGGTCTGGTACAATTACAAACAGCTACCTACAGTAGGTTCACACTGCAACGACCAGTGTGTTACTGTAGGCCAGTAAACTGCTACTGTTCTATCCAGATTACTGTAGGCCAGTAAACTGCTACTGTCCTATCCAGACCTGGCTGAACTGACCTCATATTTGATGATGTAAAAATTCCTCCACTAAATATTATGGACATTTTTACAGTGATTTTGAAATAAATACACTTTGATTCCTAAACAGTAAAAAAAACAAACCTTATCATCTATTATTCTTGGTCACAAAACTCTATATTTCTGTGACTGTGTGACCCGGAAACACACGTAGTAAGTGAGATAAATCTCGTTCATGAGACTAAACTTTTCCCAGGCAATTGACTATTTTCGGTACAATGAAGGTTTCTAAACCTGGATATTATTTTGAAGAACTTGTTTAACTCTGGCACCAAGAGAGAGAAAACAAACCGGCTCTTGTCCGTGTGAGCTTTAACTTCAAAGATGAATGGCCGTCTCTGTCCCTGAGGCGAATGAAGAGCCAGTGCTCTGATTATGAAAGCAGGACAAATCAGCCTTTTCGGGAACAGCCAACTCCATCTGAGAACCTCGGCGACACTGTCATTTTTAATTAATGGAATCTTCATTATTTAGTTAAATCAGAGCAAGATTGCATCAGTGGGCCTAAGGAGGGGGATCTTATATAAGAGGGGGAGGTGTGCAACAACAACGACGACAACAACAACAACAATAATAATCATAATAATAATAATAATAATAATAATAATAATAATAATTACAACTTCAGTGATCGCACACTGGGGAAATTCTTGTGGTACAGACTGTCCCTTGGAATGTGGTTCCTCTGGGAATTGAACCCAAGGCAGTCGTCCTAACCACTACACTATGGATCCAAACAACAAGTCACATTCATTTCAATTTGGCTCTTATACAACTTATAGCTTTTAAAAAGTTGTTGAGAGTAGATAGTTACCTTATACTGCAGATACAGTGGACGACCGGTGTAAAGTACTCTGATTGGGGATTAGGATTACACAAAAACATTGAAGACTAACAAATGAGCAGAGTGTGTGAGACTGCTGAGCATGACTCGCAGTCAGAGACATCCATTGACTGAATAGGGAGAGTGGTGCTTTATAAAAGAGAGAGAACAAAAAAACAATGACAAAAAAGACAATGATCTCTGATGAGAGTTCTTTTTGCTCGTGAAACAGAGGAAAATTGTTGAAATTAAAAGTCTGTGTCAATGTGACTGGATGATGCACATGTCGAAACAACGGTTCTTCACATGGCTGAGTTAGGATCAGATAAGACCGTGGTGATAATCAGGGAAAAGTGAGGACATGTAACTTTATCTTACAGGCATTTATACTCAATATATACGTAACTTGTTTCTAGTATTTGGATCAATTTCACTGTCAGAGACATGTCTGATAATGATGACATCCACATGGGGAGTGAAGGAGAGAAAGAGAACAAGAAGTAAAATAGGATGAAGAAAAGAAAAGAAAGGAGAAGGAGCAGGAGCGTGGGTTGATATTACAGTTGGACCACCTGGGGAATGTTTACAGAATTTAATAACTCTAAATGTCATCACTTTATTGGATTTATGTACAGAGGTGTCTCTCCCTTTATATGCTGCACAAAGACACACACACACACACAAACACACACACAGTCCAACATCTCCAATAAAACAATTACCATGGCACCCATTGCCGCAGGTTTATCCAGATATGACAGGGGGTTTGCATTAAAAGCTCTCCACCGTTACAGGCAACGAGTGAGAGGTAAAACGTCTAACAACAGTCACTCCTCCACATTATACGTGTCAAACTACATTGTTCTCCAGTCGACAGTGGCAAGGGGTTCTGGAACTGATTCTAGCTGACACTGTTACTGTTTAATCACAGGGATACGGTAGAGAGAGAAATGGATATGAACTATTTTATTATTATTATAAACTGATTATTTTATCAGCTCTACTTATCACTTAAATATTTTACAGCCATACAATTATCTCTCCTTGTTTTTTGGATTAATATTATATCATTTTTAATTTCTTTAGGAAGGAAAGTGAACTAGTTCTCATTGTGACACTGCACACAACCAGATGTGACCTCTGCTTTTAACCGATCACCAAAGTGAGGAGTGTGGGGACGGTGCCATGCTCAGAGCACCTCAGTGGTAACTTGGCAGCTGGTGGACTCGAACCTCAAACCGTCCAGAACCAAGTCTGCTTCCTTAACTACTAAGTCACCACTGACCCAAAAAAAGGGTGAGGTCCCACCGAGACTTGAACTCGGATCGCTGGATTCAAAGTCCAGAGTGCTAACCATTACACCATGGGACCATGTGATCCCACGGTGCTTATGCTGTTGTCAGTTATCATATAACATGTACACGTTCACAACTTCATTTTGTGATTAAAAAAAAAGTATGTGGACCAACAGAAGAACCGATGGAAGAGACAGCAGTAAATAAGTTGAAGTTCAAACTCCTAAAGCTCTTAGAATATTCTTTAAAACAACTCTCAGCAGTGAACGGTTCCCTGCAACGCAAACACATTCAAACTATATGCTGAACAGACTGCGACATGTTAATGAGAGGGAAGAGAGAGAAAAAAATACTGATGTAACAAATCTGTTCAGCCATTTTCTCCATCTGCTAATGTTCAAAGCTGAAGTGTGTGAGTGACAACAAAAAAGGCTTTCCTGCTGCGTTACTGAGGCTCCTAATAAGGACACATGACTCACTGGTGCTCACACACACACACACACACACACACGCTTAGCAAGATGTTTTTTTAAAAAAAGCATTTGTGCTCATTTAAAAAACTTAAATCAATGCTCTTGTTTACATCTAACCAGCCTCACAGCTGTTGATTATGAATGTATGCGTCACATGTTGCAACCATCAGGACATTCATGTGTATCCAGGCAAGGCCGAGGCAGGAGTCATGAGAGAGCACCGTCTTCTCTGATGTGTATTATTACATATATACTGTATGTAATAATTAGCTTTATTTTTTAGCATGTGACGGCTCTTGCTGTTAAATACGTTCTCCCGTCTGTCCTTATTGATGAGTACACAAATCCTTCACTTGTGCTTTACTTTGAAGAGAGACCAAAGGAACAGGAAACAGTATCTACTGTAACATTCCTGTCATGTTTGTCTTCTTTTTAAGATTCACATTTTTCACAAAGGAAAACAGCACCACAGCGCCGACACTGGCAGTGGAATGTAATTAACGAACCTTCCTCAACAGGTTATTGTTGGCAAAAAAAAAAAATGTGTGTGACTCTGATAATAATCAATAATAATTTTTCTATACACAGATGTTTTTTTTTTAAGCAATACAGTACGTGTTCATGCACGTGCTGCGTTTCTTCTTCACTAATGACGAGGAGTGTTCAGTGAGTGTGGGGTCGTTCATTAACATGTATGAATATTTCATGTTCAATGTCCAGCTGTCTCTCATCTGCTGGTCTCTCTCCTGAGAGGACCTGGGGCTACACCGGCCGACAAAATCTTCGCAGCAAAGAAACACCATCCACATGTTCACAACAGCCTGATTATTCAGATATGATAAAGTAATCAGGTTGAAGACAACAACAAAAACAGAGATATCTATTTTTGTCGGAGCTCAATGAGTAACAGGAGCTGTTGGT